TCACCTTTATTAAGTGATGCTGGGTTAATTATGCAGATTTCTGTCAGACCCCAGCGAGCCTCCGCCACCTCCACTCTTCCCATACAGCCACTGGTTTTGCATCCCCAAACCTGGCCCTGCTCTGCTTTTGGAGGGTTCCCAGGGGGCCCCATGCACAATGTCGAATGCACCCAGAAAAGCAACTGGTGGGCTCCCAGGATGCAGATCTCTTACAGCAAGAAACCCCATTTGCTCTCGCTTTGGAGAACGTCATGACAACTTCATGCTTTTATTTAGTTGTTTGTTTATTTAATCCTGCCAAGTTTTCAAACTTCTCTGTCTTTCCTCCTGGAAGGGAAGTCCTGGCCGTGCCTGTGCCAGCCAGCAGCCGATCACAGCCCCACCGCCCGCTGAGGGAGATCCCACCTGTGCCGATGTCCCCAGCAGACTGGAAATGAGTTATTTTGTTTTCTTCCTTTGCAGTAAAAAACAGAATGGGGAAAAAGAAAATGTCCAGCAAATATTCCCAGAGAGGCTGCATTTATTCCTGGTATGTCCACTTGCAATAATAGCTGGGCTGCTGGTTCTGCAGTCCAGCTGACCGCCTGGATGGAGCATGTTTGGGGGTAACCCTTTGGGTACCGAGGCCAAGTTTGGTCAAGCACCAGCCCATAATTAATTAATTTGCATATTTAGGCTCCATCCCTTCATGGTTCCTAATGAAAAGCTTATTTAGGCGGATGTGGACTTGAAGACCTTCTTCAAGCCCTCGGGAATTCTATCTGGGAAAAACAGTAGGTTTTATGTGAGTAATTGCAGTAAGGAAATGCTCCAAATAAAAGCTTCCTGCTAGGTCTTTCCAGTGGGAAAACGAAACAATTCTTTTAGGCTTACTTTAATATCAGCAACATATAGAAATATATATATATATATATATATAGTCCCATAGTGCTGCTTTGTAGAGAGAACACAAGCAACAACCCCCTGCAAACATGCTCAGAAAAGATGCCAGAAGAATTCAACAGAAAGTATTTGGAGTATACATTAAGTAAGCCACCCTGCTCTTAAGTTTGTTTTGAATCCCCGAACGCAGTAATTGCTTGTGAAAGCAAAAAAGCCGTGGGCCCTGCGTGGTGTGGGATGCTGGAGCCGTGTGGGAAAGGCGGCATTTAATGGGAAAGGCGGCATTTATTTCTCATTCTTTGGGTAAGAAGTTAACCCATCCGTGCCTTTGCAAGGACAGGCTGCTGCTGGTTTTGTATGCGTCCAGGCTATTTAGCTTCCTGCACGGGCAAAACTTTTCTGCTTTTCTTCAAACTTGATCTATTCAAGTTACGTTTAGTAGCGGGGGGGAGTGCAGGAGTGCAAGCAGAGAGCAGAGAAACGTGCTTTTTCCCTGCTAACATGAACTTTTTGGTTGCGCCCTTGTTAAGCATCACTTTGTGGTGCAAGTCCTTGGCGAGAGCCCCCGGGTCCTGGTGGGATGCCTCTGCTTTTCAGGAGTTTCCTTCCCTGCCCTGGAAGAGGCCGGGCTGCTCCTGAACCCCTTCTGCAAACGTGAAGTTTACAGTTCAGTGCAGAAAATGAGGATTTATTTTTTTGGGGAGGGTGCCGGACAGGACCCATCGGAGCACCAGCGGGGGCTGCCGTCCCTCCTCGGTACAACACATCCCCTGCCTGTGGGGGACACGTGGCCGTCCTCCCACCGTCGTCCTGCTCAGCGTCTCCTGGGGACGGCGGGTGGATGGAGGCGACGCGGCGGGGAGAAGGGCGAGGGGCCGAGGGGCCGCTTCCGCTCCACCCGTGGGAACTGGGCTACAGCAGCGGGATTAATGACCGACCTTCTGCTAACGGTGCCGCCGCTGGATCGCGGTAGCCGCCCGCATTTCCTCAGCAGAATAACGAGCGCTCCCGGCGCGGGAGGGTGCAGCATGCGGAGGGCGAGCGGCGGCTGCAGCCTGCAGCATCAGGTACGACGACAAGCGGGTCGTTAATTATTGACTGTCTTTTCAGTAATCTTTCCCGATGAGGGAGGCAGACCCGCCGACAGCCTCGCGGTTGGTGTTTTATGGAAAAAATAGCGGCGCCGGGAAAAGTAACTCGTATTACACAGCCGGCTTTGGTTGTCCTCGGAAAGGTCGTATGAGATCGATGCGCTGCTTTATTCGAAAATTAACCCCTCTTTCGTGCTGCTTGTTGTAAACTTGTGTTTGCTTTCCGGGCAAGGTCACTGCTCAGCTGACCAACTTTTTCACAGCTGGAAAAGGCACGTTTGCCGCTCCGGACCCTGCGCTCCCAGCTTACGGCATGGGAAAAGGTGGTTTTGGGGGAGGCAAGCGCTTCTGCTCCCCCCGCGATGGGCTCGGAGGTGGGAGCAGGAGCAGGTAACGCAGCAGGGTGCTTTGCTATCGATAGTTTTTCCTTTCACCACAAAGTGCTAAAGGCGATGCTGCAGTGCAGGCAGAGCTCAAAAAAACGTGTTATAGCTAACGAGACTGTGCTAACATGCTGCACAGCAGGGATGAGCTATCTTCGTATTTATAATGTCTCCCATTTAAAATGACTAGCAAGATGCTCCGGGAGAAGGAAATTCGTATGTATTTGTCTTTGTGGTTGAGTTAATTTGTTCTTTATGCCTTGTGGGCTGTGATGCTGCTCCCCGTGCTGCTGGGTGGGGTGGAAAGGGGAGCGCTGGCATTGCCTGGCAATGGGACGGAGTGAAAGAGGGGTTAAATGAGGCTGTAATGAGGCCGTGTTGAAGCCAGGGCTGGTGAAAAAGACAGCACATTGTCCCTGCAAATGGGCAGCCCCAGGGAATTAAACCGCTGCGCTCTGTGCGGTTGCCTTCTCATATATTTGCCTTCTCCATTTCCATTTCTGCACGTATTAATTCCTGCCTTGAGAACAGCAATGTCATTTCATTCAAGGTGAAAATCAAGCAATGCTGCGCGTGTGGCGGTGTCACTTGCCTGGAGAGGAAAATAAGTAATTCTTCAATTTTATGCAGTGGGGGGGAAGCTCAGTGAATACAAAACCTGTCAGAGGATCAGCATAGGAGGAGGAAACCCACCTGAAAGCACTGACCTGCCCCAAACGGTGGAAGAGCAGCCGTGGGGTCCAAGGAGCCACTTTTTTGGCTCAAAACCCTCTAACCTGCACCTGAGCCGTCCCAAGGGGGACAGGAGGACATCAGCAAGCTGGTAGAGTGCATTCAGCATCCTTTCACAAGGTGATTTGGGAGTAGATTGGTCAAAAGAGAGAAGTCGTAGCAGTATCAATTTGGGCTGCAGAGTTGGGACCCAGCCAGCTCATAAATGAACCAATTAGATGTAATTATCTAGATATTAAAAAGCATCCTATTCACTGGCTTTCCCCCCAGCCCCTCTAAATAAATGATGTAGAAGAGCGCAGTGTAGCTGGTTGGACTGTAGCTGGGATCTGTAATTGACTGTTTTAGGTAAATTAAAAAAAATGATAAATTGAGGCGATGGCTCTGTGCTGGGCAGGTGTCGGCATTGCCATCAGCTGCGTGGGCATCGAGGAAGTACTAACCCTGGAGGTGCTTTTGGGAGTTTTGATGTTCTCCTTGAGTTGGGACCCTCACAACTTTCCATCAGGGCAATGCTTTGTCAATAAATTTGTCTACCCAAATGGCAAAATTAATGGTTTTGACCTTGATGAGTTACACCGTGCAAAAATAATGATGTGACAAAAGGCGAAGTTAGAAGGTGCAGAGTGGAGAAGACCAAGAAGACAGAGCTGCTGCTGAGGTGGTGGATGAGCCAGGCTCTGCTGATGGGTGCTGCAGGAGAGCAAATAGAAAGGTGAAGCAGACGGGTGCGGGATAAGGACGGTGCCAGGCGAAGCAGGGGGTAAAGGTTGGCTGCAGCCCCTCCATAGGGAGCTCTGGAAGCCTGGGCAGGTGCTAAAGCCCTCCCGTAGGGGAAATACTGTGAGCAGAAAGTGAGTTCAGACTCTGATGGTTTGATAGATGAGATGAATGTGAGCTGGGGCTGCTTGGACCTACCCTGGAAACCTTGCACAGCTCAGAGATGTGCTGGAGGAGCAGGGATAGCTTCCAGGCTGCTGTGGGACCAAACCAGGTACTGAGTGGAAAATCCTAAACAAGCAACCTCCAAGAAACCTCCATCGCCCTCGCCTGCCTCCTCCCTGTGTCTTTCTAAAGGGCCTGGAGGAGAGGAGCTTCTCCCAGGACCTTTTTTTGGTTGTTCCCAGCCTTAATCTCCGCTTGCACCCCAGGAGGGTCTCACCCGTGTCCGCATGATGGGAAAGAGCTGGAGGGTAATATGGAGCAGGCTGGATGTGAGGTTTGTGGTGCAGGCTGTGGTAGATCTCCACCTGAAGATCTTCCCCCATATGAAAGCAAATTGTCTGTGTTTTAGTGCTATTTGGTGAGGGTTCTTTATAGCAGTATGGATGTGCTCTGAAAGAATGGCTTTCATTTGATCAAGATTCAAGATCAATTTTGAATCTTTGGTTGTTACGGGTTTAAAAAAAAAAAGGTGACAAACTAATCATTTCTGCATATACTTTAGATATCCCTTGCTGTTTTCAGAGATGCTGTATTATGTTGGATACCTCAGCTTACAGGAGTTGATGAAGAGTCCCTGTGCCATCTATCTCGAGCCCAGTAGAAATTATCCTAAATGTCTCTCTGTCCTCATTTGCAGTCAAGCCCATCAGTAATGCAGGGGATGTTTTATAAGAACCAGCGACCTGCGATGTGTCTCTGAAGCATGAGTTGTTGCTGCTGGAGAAGGAGCTATTGATTTAAGGAGCTTGAAAGTGCTTAGCAGGCACAGTCGGGCCGCAGGATATGGGAAATAAGAGGGTGGGTGGCCTGTGAAGAGGTGTAAGGCTTTAGGGAGAGATTAAGTTCCGATAATCAAGCTTTATTTTTTTAATTAAACATATCTGTTTCTGGTTTTTCAAGGGTGAAGCGACTCATCTGCCCTAGCTCGTCAGAGGATGCTTAACTGACGGCCCAATTAGACCACGCCATGGAGAAGACAGAAGGTAAGGACACTATGGGATGCTTGTTCACTCATTTCTTTCTTGGGGAAAAAAACCCACCAACCAAACTCTGAAGTAATTTCCTTACCAGAAATACTGTAAATAAGCTGTTTTCTATAGATATGCGCTATGGTCAGAAGATGCAAAATGCATCGTTCATGTATTATGCAGATGTCCTAAACAGCAGCAAAAACACGGTCACAGCTCTGGGTTCAGCACGTTTATCCTCTCTACTCTGTCAGATCTCTGCTCCCACTGCCCGGGCTCTGCTCCTGTGCCCCGTTACACCACGTGATGCTTTCCCTCTGTCATTGCTCTGACTTTCACATGCCCCTTCGCATCACGACGGCGGCTGCGTCTCAGTGATGCTCTGTGACGAGTGGCACCCAAAGTCCTGCCAAATCCTGCTGGTCCCCGCGCAGCTGCTGCGCCAGGATGGAGACAGAGGGAGCAGCCAGCAAACCTGGGTTCTCCTGGTCGAGCTGCTCATCCTCGCAGCTTGTTGGGCAAAGCAGCCCAAAACATAGTGGTTTCAGGAGCTTGAATAAAGGAAAACGAGCACTGATGCAGGGGTTTAACCATTTAGACCCTCAAGGCCAAAATTTGGGGGCAGCCCCAGCTGGCGCTGTCTGTCCGGCCTCTGCCTGCTGCTGTATCCATCATTTTCAAGGAATAATTTGTGACTGGGTGGTTGCAGATGAAACCATGCAGTGATTTTTCCTGCTTGGTGTGCACGGCACTACTTAATGGCACTGAAAGGTTAAAACCAAACCAAAAGCCTTGAAAAATGAAATTGTCACAGGTTGGTTCCACCTTCTGGTTTTGAGATGGATTTATCGTACATCGGGCAGCTTTTTATACTTACACAAACACATAGCTCTGCCTGCAAACCTGCTGTTTGCTTAATTGCCAATTGCAGCCGTCATTTCAGCACATTTTCAGCTTCTTCAGTGCAACAAATACCTGATTCACCTCCAGGAAATCAGGTTGGACCTCTGTATGTGTTGCTGCGTCTCTGCAAAGCTTAACCGTGAACCTGCCTGAAACTGGGATTAAAAAAGCAGTAGCATTTCCTTCCCGCATTCTGAACGTATTTTTTGTTAATTTTTTTGTTGTCTTTGAAACTAAATAATCTGTTTTTCTTTTGTTTCAGCAAACGGCCAGCCACCCAAACCCGACGAGGAGAGGGAGCAGCCCCGCAGCCTCCCCTACTCCGTGGAGACACCGTACGGCTTTCACTTGGACCTGGACTTCCTGAAGTACGTGGATGACATCGAGAAAGGCAACACCATCCGGAGGGTTCACATCCACCGGAAAGCCAAGCAGCCAAAATTCAGCACCCTGCCCCGAAACTTCAGCCTGCCTGAGAATGGCACCCGCGGCTGCACCTCGGCTCCCAGCAAGAGCTGGACGGCGACCTGCTCCTTCCCCCAGCACAAGGCGTCCCTGGGGGCGGAGGAGACCCCCCGGCCCCTCCTGTCCACTGAGCTGACCCTTCCCATGGCTGATGAGCCCAGTTACCGGAGAAAAGCCCTTTTGGCGGAGACGTGGCGGCAGGTGGAGCTGGGGTGGCCAGATGGTGAGCTCCGGGGGCGGCCGCAGCTCCTGCGAGCCTCCAGCATGCCCGCAGCACTGCCGCCCGGGCAGCCCCCACCAGGGGACGGACGGGTGTCCTCGCCCCTCCAGCTGCCCCCACAGCACTGCCACGAGCAAAGCAGCTCCGAAAGCACCTTTCGCCCTGTGCCGCGTTCGCCCAGCTCCAATGGCATCGTGGTAAATCTCCCCCAGGAGATGAGCTTGGAGCAGGAGGGGCAGAAGGAGCATCCGGGTGGGGGCAGCCCAGTGCTGGTGCAGATGCAGCCCCCGCGGCAGAGCCAGCAGCTGCAGGTGGTGATGGAGAGCGGTGGTGAGGAGGGCGATGCTGCCGATGCTGGCATTTGCTCCACCTTGGGTGGGGGGGAGTCAGCGTCACCGGGTGTCCTTCAGGTCGCAGAGGACACGGACCCTGGGGAGAGGGAGTTAAGTGTGAGTGAAGTCGCTCCGAACATAGTGAAGGAAGCTGAGGAGGGGAATGTCCAGGCTGGAGAGAACAAGGAGAGCTCTGTTCCTGAGCCCCGTGATGCAGGAGAGCCTGGTGGGATTGCTGCGCTGAAGCAGCAGGTTGCTGCTCTGGAGGAGCAGCTGAGCAAGAAGAAAGAAGAGCTGGAGCAGATCCGGGCAGTGCTGGAGCAGCAGGATCATGAGATCAAGGAGAAGGAGAAAAGCATTCAGTTACTGGCCAGCTCCAAAGCGCAGCTGGAAGAGCAGCTGTGCTGGGAAAACGCCCCTGAGGCCAGGCTGCCGCCCAGGCAGAGCGGTGGGGCTTTGCAGTGCTACGATGCCGCTGTCAACACTGACCTCTCGCAGGTGTCCGCGGCCAAGCAAGCCCATGATAAAGGTGTCAACGTCAACATCCCAATCTCCACCAAATCCGTAGGGTGCAGCGTGCACAGAGCAGACAACGTGAACACGCAGGGTGCCCGGACGGATCAGGGACTGGCAGACGCTGGCACTGATGTCAGTGGAGAGGGACCTGGACATTTTGGGGAAGCCGCCGTTGAGGCTGGCCTTCATGTGCCGTGCTTCACCCAACTGCAGATCGATGAGCACCTCAGCGATGACAATCAAAACCACAGGAACAACTACAACACCCAGAGCCTCGCTGCTCATGCGGTGACAGCTGGAAGCCATCGAGGAACAAGAATTGGCTCAAACGCAGGAGAAAACAAGGCGGGCTTTGGCGAAGATCAACCTCAAGACGAGCTGGATGAGGAAGGTCCCCCTGACCACGAGGACCTCCCCGCTGTTGACCCCATTGGCCAATACGTGAAAAAAATCCAGGAGCTTTTGCAGGAGCAGTGGCTGTGTTTGGAGCATGGCTACCCCGAGTTGGCGAGCGCGATTAAACAGCCGGCCTCCAAGCTCAGCTCCATTCAGAACCAATTAGTTAATTCCTTAAACTCATTGCTGTCTGCCTACTCTACGCAAAGGCCCGCCGATAAGGAGAATTCGAACATGCACTATCAACAGTTGGGTAAATAATACTGGCGTAGGTTTCTACATGTCTGGGCCAAATCTCTTTCCATTTATTCAAGTGTTGGGCAGAGGTGATGCAGTGGAGCTTGGTGGTATCGGTCAGATCAGAAATAGCCCCTCCTAAACATGGGTGAGAAAGGCAAAAAAAAGCTATGTGATCTTAAAGGAAAAAAGCAAACAAAACTATGTTGGATCTGGTCAAGCTGTGCCTCAGTTACACACAGGATCAGCTTCTGGAAGTGGCCACACCTATGGCTATTCCACCAAATTAACCGTTTTTCTTAGATTGGATGTCTCAGTCTGGGACTCATGCTCGTCTAGGGTAAATCAGCACCAAGTTCACCAGAACCAAACCCAATTCAAGCTGAGCAACCAGGCTGGGAAAAGACCTGTCCCCACTGACAGCCGTTCATCTAAAATGATTTTAACTTATTTGAAGATCAGAATCCAAAACTGAAGATTGCCTGGTCACTGGGGGGGCTTGCAAATAGATAACGACCTATTACTTATAAGCAATACATGTGAGACCATTCAAACTCCGATTGAAAGACTCATCCATGTAGTATTAGAGGAGATTTATATAGATTTCCAATACATTAGTATTAAAAAAAACCCCCACATTATTACAAAAGTAAAACCTACTTATATTCATAGGAAAAATATATGTAATTCCCAGGCACCTGGAAATGTTTGAGACCCATACTGTAAAGGTGGCAGGGCAAGTTCAGATGGTGGCCAGGTGCATCAGTAGTTTTGCAAGACATAAAAAGCATCTCCTAAGGTGAACTAAGATGCTTACAGTCGTAATTTGTTATTTGTCACTAGAGGTTGGGAATAATCGTTGATAATTATGGCACATCTGCTTAATTAATCTGTTGTTTTGTATTTTGCTAGAAATCTCTCCAACCACAAGTCTTAAATCTATCATGAAAAAGAAAGGTTATGGTTTCCATGCAGGAGGCAGTGGGACCAAAAAGAATCTTCAGTTTGTTGGGGTAAATGGTGGGTAAGCATCCGTTCAGAAGATAAAAACCGCCTTTTAACGCGTGATGTCCTCTGTACCACTGCAGGAGTCATTCTTTCTTCCCCTCTTCTGCCCTCCAAACCTCTTGATTAAAAGGCCATTTGCAATGGAGCCTCTTTTCTCCCTTCTTTAATTCAGCTCTCGTAACCTGTAAGTAACTCTGTAGAAAAGATGATGTTTTCGATGCAGCAGGGACACCGTGGGGTCTGACACTCGCTGCACACCCATCTCTTGTGGCTTCACCCAAAACCCAGCTGGGTCCATGGGAAAATTCCCACTAGTTTTTGGGGTTTTGGAGGAGGTCAGCATTGCCTGGGTGGGCACGCCCCCACTAACCTGCCTCCGTGCTCAAACAAAAGTTGGTTCAGGGCCTGAAGAAGGACTATTTCAGTAAATAGGGAACTACCTCGTGGTGAAGGAGACCCATATTGTAGCTTGAGCTCCAACACCCAGTTCCCTGTGTATCCAGACTCTAATGCTCTTTGGTCTCTGAGCTGATGAGATCCACCAGCACGTGCTGTAGGTGCATCTCTACCAGCACATCTTCTACCGAGGAGTACGTGTGTTGGCAGGGTGAGGGCAGGACGCATTTCCCTGCCCCCTTGCTGTGCAAATGTGTGCAAGTTTGGGTGTTGGTTTCTGCTGACTTACGCTTCCCTGACTTGCCAACTCTCTGGCTACTGCTGTGGGGTTCATCAGGTGTTGCTCACTCTTGTGGGGCAGAGCTGCTTCTACCAACAGTTGCTGCAGTGGGTACAACTTGTAGCAAGTAGAGGGATCTCAGCTAGCTTGAGAAAAGTTTTGGGATCCCTCAAGGTGAAATGTCGTGGCTCACAGATGTTATTAATACTTTTGGAGAACCAGGCGTCTCTGGTAGGGTGGACTCGGGTCTGTGCTGGAGCTGCAAACATAGTTGTTGTCTAGTGGTCCTCAAGGTTGGTGATGTGCTGTGTGTCCCACCTTGCCATGGGATGCATGTTTCTCCTGGCTCCCCATCACTGTGCCGGTAGCGATGGCCTGGCCATGCTGGTGCTTGTGCGATGGACATCCCTCCAAACCAACCTACCAGTTCCTGAAGTAACCTTGCCTGCTGCTGATTAACTGCTTCTATCACGCTCCTGCTGGCTTAAGTCAGAAAACCCCAAAAGACTAACCCCAGATTTGGCTGTGGCTCTAACCTGCTAATTTGCTTGCTGCTCCGGGCGTCTTCCAAGGCCCATTGGAGTCAGGGGGTGTCTTCAATGAGTCTTGGCCCAGCCCTGCAGTTGCAGATGGGGAAGGAGTGAATAACATGTGGTGTCCTCAAATAGCTACGAAACGACGTCAAGCGAAGACACAAGCTGCGAAGACAGTCCATCAGAGGGGGACGCGGAGAGAGAGACGGAGAGGAGAGCCGATGATTTGGAGCCTGTGCAAGCAAAAGCTGGAGGTGAAAGCAAGGGGGCTTCGTTGGGGACCTCCTCGCAGGAGAGATGTGAGGATGATGACCCGCAGGAGCCATCAGCAGAAGCAACACCTTGCACCGAGCACAAGACTGACAGGTAACAGAAAGCCAGGCAGCGATGGTGCTTTCCATCGCGTTTCTGCAGCCACGGGACGCACGGCGTTGCACGCAGTCGCTCCCGCAGGGCTGGGGCTGATGCTTCGTGTGCTTGGTGGAAACGCAGCCACTCGCCTCCGTAGCCACGGGAAAAGGCTTTACAGAGCTGAATATTTTTTGAGTTACTACGGAATCTAATGGGGATTGATTCAGGCCCTAGGCTTGACGGTGGAAAAGGCAGAGTGAGTCATTTGGTGAGAATTAGCTCATTTCTCCCCTCTCCAGTGAAGTTTCTCAGTGAAGTTCTTTGCAGATTCAGGAATAAGTTTGTTGGTTTTTTTTCCTACTTTAAGGTTTCTTGTAACAGATTGAGTTGACTGTACAGCTCTGGGACATTAACACCTATTTAAGTGCTTAACCTAAAAGCCTAACCTTTGGGTGCTGTACCTAAAATCTACATAAAGTCAATGAGGCAACTTCTTTCTCTAAAGTTAAGCACTTGAATAAGTGTTGAATGTATTCTGACCTAAACTCTGTATTCTCCTTCCTGCTTCAATACCTCCTACAAGTTCTATCTCATGGATTTACAAAAGTGTTTTTTCCCTTTAGATGCAAACCATCAGAAGATTTCCTTGCCGACTGCCAGCTGCTCAGCAAGCACCTCCCGGAAATCAGGACCACAAGCGACGAGCATCTGGTACAGATATTTTTCAGTCCCATTTATGGACACGGTTCCCACTCTCTGTTGCATTTAATGGATGAAATTATCCTGATTGTGTGTTGTGCCCTGCTATGCCATGGACATCTTTGTGAAGATACAGGGGTGAGGTGACCTCTGAGTCAGTTTCAGAATAGCCAAAAAGAAAGGAAAAGGGAAAAAAAAATAAAGATGATGAAGGCTTTCTCTGCTTACTCATTCAAGTTACCACAGGAAATTCCTTTCCCCCTTAAGTTATAGCAGTAATCCCAAAACCACGAGCTAAATACTGGCCGGGTGATGCTGGAGCACAGGACGAGGTGGTGTGGGGCAAGGAGCCGGGGCAGCAACTGGGGATGTCCACTCCAGGAGTAACGGTGGGACCTTGGTGTTTGCAGCGGCACGTCCTGGGCACCGTCGGCCAGGAGTGGTTCCGGGTGTCGAGCCGCAAGTCTTCCAGCTCGGAGGTGGTCGGGGCCTATCTGAAGGCGCTGAAGGCCATCCAGCCCCAGCTCCTGGCGATGGTGGTCAACCTGACGGACAGGAATGGCAACACGGCTCTTCACTACAGTGTCTCCCACTCCAACTTCCCCATTGCAAAGCTCCTGCTCGACACAGGTAAGAACAGCCACTCTGCTCAGCCACGGCTTTTGGTGGGGATGAGTGTGGAATTTACTCCGTGTTGCTCTTGCTAATGGGACATGGTCCCATAGAGGATGACCGTGGCTGGCAGAGCCAGGTAATGGAGGTCCATCAACAGTCCCAGACATGGAAAATGGTGAATGAGGACCAGGGGCCTCCCAGGGAGTTCAGTCAGGAGTAAAAGGAGATGGGACAGAGGTGGGGCTGGGGACCAACTACAACTTAAATGCAAGGAAGCCATACAGTAGAAAAGCATGGGGCCAGTGTCCATCCAGGACACAAATGTGGAGCCAAGGTCCATCTAAGGGACAAGTGTACGGCCAAGATCCATCCAAGATACAAGTGTGGGATCAAGATCTATCCAAGGGACAAGTGTAGGGGCAAGGTCCCTCCAAGATACAAGCATGGGACCAAGGTCATCCCAGGAGCCATGGTTGATCTGAACACCAGCATTCTCTCCCCATAGCTCAGCCCTGGGCCCATGGGTGTGGGCAGGGGTCCCAGCTAAGGCTCCTCAGGGACATTAAGGCTGATTAATGTCCCTTTTGTTTTAAGGCCCCTCAGGGCCCACACACATCTTGAGGGCTTTGCAATCTGACTTTGGGGATGGCTCAGGATCCCTGTGGCCAAGGGGTGTCTCTCCTGGCCCTGGTCCAGGTGGGATGGGGTGATGCCCCCAGCTTCTTGTAGCAGCAAATACCACATCGTGGCTGGGAGCTGGAGGACCAGACCTCTGAGAGCATAACAAACTCCCCAGAGCTGCAGAAAAACTCCATGTTAAACTATTGAACTTTCAGCTCGTGTTGCTGAAAAGAAGAGAAAAACTTCAGCTGAGCTTGTATGGGGGAAAAAAATGCGCGTGTGCTCTGAAAGAGCAAAGGCACTTTGGCCGTTTCTCATGGGCCGGACAATCTGTTGAATGTTCGGGAAATGGCAGATTATCATACACGTCTGTAACCTGATTGTTGCCGCAGGCACGCAGGGAGCTGTGGTTTGTCCCTTCCTGCCACCAAGTGCCTGAGGTGGCCGGGTCCCTGGGGCAGGGCTGGAGCAGAGCCCTCACCCATTACACACAGATCATTCCTCGTTTCCTTTTTGTTTTTGTTACGGTCTTCAAAGTTAATGGAGTTGACCTCAGCAATTGTAATTAACTGTAGCTGTGCTCACAAGACCAGATATTTCACACAGATAAAGCTCAATCCTATGTAGCTATGTTAAAGAAACTCCTGATTCTGGGAATGTATTTTACAACTCCCTCTTTGCCTCCTGCCAGGCGTCTGCCGCCTGGACCTGCAGAACCACGCCGGCTACACGGCCGTGATGCTGACCCCGCTGGCGGCCGCTGAGACGGGCGAGGACATGGAGGTGGTGATGAAGCTGCTGCAGGAGGGGGACGTCAACCTGCGAGCTGCCCAGGTGCATCCCTGTGGCTCTTTGAAAGCTGAGCCAGGCTGCAGCGGGCATTTATTTGGCAAAGTGGCTCCTGCTGAGCTCATAGCTGCCTATTTATGGCCATCACTGTGCAATGCCAGTTCAGGCTGTGGCATCATCTTGTCCCAGTAGAGATCTCAGGTTGGGGGGGGATATAATTTGGGTTCCTTACGCTGCCTCTGCAGCACCAGGCTGGGACTCAGCAGCAGGCATTGGGTTGGAGCTGCTGCTTCCCAAGAGTTGTGAAAGTAACCACAGCTAAATTGTAGCGTGGCCACCTGCCAGGGACGTGAGAGCTGGATCAAACCAAGAGTCAAAAGGAAGGATGGAAGTTTTGCAAAATACTTTGCATGAGCTAAAGAGTTGGAGTCTGAAGAAGTGATACCAGGGGGAGCGCTGTGAGGTGGACCCTGGGGTAGGGGATCTCCAGGTTTGCTGGCAAGTGGTCCCTCATCAGAGTCAGACATTTCGGTCTCAGAGACAGCAGTGCCCTCATCCTGCTCTTCTTCCCAACAGCTGTAAGAGTTAATCCAGACCTAAGTTAAACTGCCCAGGAGGGTTAAGGGGACCCACTTTTAGGGGCAGCTGGGAGCTGGACAGTTTGGCCACGCTTCTGCAAAGACCCTCCACGCAGCCATGGTGCAAGTGGGCAGTGTTATTTAATAATAATAATATACAATAAGATGCAATATGCTGTAATTATATGGATTATTATTATAGATAGGTACTATGCTATAATATTATGCGATCTTATTTTATATATGCAATTATAACAGTCATCATGATTATTACTACTACTATTTTTATTACTACTATTATTATTAATAATACATAGAAGTCTGAACAAGCAGGAGGCTGGTGGGCAAGGGGTGCTGAGCCTTTCCCTGTGTGATTGCAGGGAGGCCAGACCGCCCTGATGCTGGGAGTGAGCCATGAGCGGGACGACATGGTGCGAGCCCTCCTGTCCTGCCAGGCCGACGTCAACCTGCAGGACGAGGAGGGGACCACGGCGCTGATGGTGGCCTGCCGGCAAGGCAACGCTGACATCGTCAGGCTCCTCCTGGCCCAGCCTGGCTGCCAGGTCGCGCTGACGGACAAGGTGAGGCTCCGATTCGTACACAACCTCACATCCACCAGGCAGGGAAAGCCCATGCGGGATTGTGCTTTACAGACAGCAATCCCTAAGTGGTTGTTTTTACATGAAGGAGTAGAATTCCAGTCTACTTTCTAATCAGGGGACCACTTTTTAGGGAGTACCCCTGGTTTTGATGCTGCTTGTGCAGCGGATGGGGTGGCTGTGGCAGCATCTCATGTCCCAGCTGTAGCCCAGGTAGGAGCACTGGTATAATGCTAACAAAAAAAGATGAAATCCTGGACATCAGCAGTCAGCAGAGCTTGTGTCCAAGAAATTGGCAGCAATTAACTCCCTCGAGAGCAGACGCCTCTCCGGGAGGATGCATGGGATGGGGCTGGGCTGGGGGCAGGATGGGCAGTGGAAATCTCCTGAGCAGGCTGCGTTTATAGTTATGCCACTATTTTCTCACTAAATTACAATTGTGCCTAAGATGTGCAGGATGGCACCTGACCAAGGGAAGGCTTGGTTGGGATGAGCTTTGTGAGGTTGAGGTTAAGCCCCAAAACATTGTGGGGAGGTTTGTGGGACGGTGGCTCATTTTAAGCAAGGGCTGAACTGCACGGGAGGAGGTTTTGGGGGTGAAGCTGGAGAGCAGAGGAAACCCCATCACCAGTGGGCAGGTGGGCAACAGTCCCCTTGGCGATGGTGGGACCAAGCGGTTTAGGATGAGCTGGGTGGATCAGGGAGGTGGTTGGGGTGAGGTGCAGGGATTCAGGTGGTAATGCCTTCGCCCCCTCCCTCCCTGCAGGGCGGTAACTCGGCCCTGTCGCTGGCCCAGCGCGCTGCCCACGGGGACATCGCTGCCCTCCTGCAAGCCCATGCCGAGCAGAGCTCATCCCTCTCTGCCTGACCCCACGGGGAGAAGAAACCGGGACGGGGAGCGGGGAACAAGCAGCTCCTCCTTGCATCGCAGGTTTCCACGGGGGGACGAATCCTGTCGGTTACCTGTATACGTTCCCAGTGTCTAATTGTCCTCATTAAGCCTGCTTACACCCCCCCTACTCTATGCATATTGCCACAGATGGCTCCAGGCTCTCCTATATGCTCCTACTCATATAGGTTTGGCAGGTGAGCGACCGAAATGAAGGAGAAAAGCACATTAGAAAAGCAACACTTAGTCTTTTGTAACCTTAGATTATGGTTGTCCTCTTAATCGACTACTTAACTGTATCTCATTTAACTTGTAAGTTTATGTCCTAATATTTATTATTAGCTCTTCTGTACGTAGTGGCAGGCAGCGAGTCTTCAGTACATGTAACAACAAACACAAGCTGGACAGATTATGTAAAGTATAAAATCCTATTTATGTTTGCTTATGTGGGTCTGATGTAAGAATTAAAAATTAATGCTCTAGGAAAATATTTGAGTATACCAGACCCAAACACCCAGACTTGTTTTGCCTCTATTTGGAATTACCATATGGCTCTTATTTTTCTCTAATTAAGTTTGAGCTAACGGGGAAGCGCAGCCCATTGCCATGCACCGTGCATCTGCACACGCGATGCTGGGGCACAGCGGATCAGGTTATCCTGAGCATGGCATGATCAGACCATAACAGATTCCCGTCCTGGGATGCGTTAACATCATCCAAGAGTTTCACAGAGCACCTTTGCACCAGATGTGTTTTGAGCAAGCTCTGCTTTCCCTTACGCTCAACGTTCAGACGCCTGAACGACTCCCATGTAAAGCCGTGCTGTGATTTAGCTGCTGGAGTTGGCCAATGCCAGGGTCTCTCCTGCCACGGGGCACCCAGGGTTGATCCAGCATCACCTCACATCATACGTAGGGCAGGGGTTTTTCTTAAATGAAATTTCTTCTGCGGGAGGGCTCAGGCCCTGCCTCTCCAGACATCTCTACACTGTCATTAAGTCACCGTGGACCAAGCAAAGCCATTTCACGAGGCTGTACTCCATCTCTGTAGGCTTTGGTGGACCTGGATGCCATCACCAGTTGAGCTGGTGCATAGAACGTCATAAACCCAGGCCTACCATCACTAAAACCAAATCATTAGCTAATTGCCTTTCTTTTTCTGTGACTGAACAGAAGGTAATCCTGGACTGCGTTGGTCAGTTCACACCATGATCTCTCTTGTCCTGCCTTTGCCCCTTCCTTCATGTTTGCAATATGCAGCACAGCCCTTGCTGAGAGGCCCCTGTCCTCACACCAGTGACCCTGGGAGGGGGGGACAGCCCCTGCCCTCTGCTTTCCACCAAAATCTGCTCCGTTTTCTTTCCTTTCTTCACGTTCTCAGTCAGAAGCATTCACGATCTCAAATGTCCGCCCACCTTTGTTTTTCAGCTTTATCCCAAAACACAGTGACCTCCTCTATGGATAAATAAACTTGAGTTAAACCCTTACCTGCCTTCGCTCCTGTCCCCGTCACTGCAGTGCTCTCCTGGTGCGAGGCAGCAGGGATGCTCAGATGGACAAGACTTTGGGAAGCACCTGCCCCCTGCTGCCTGTGGGGTCCCTTGAGATCACCATGGTGCAATGTGGGGACAGGGCGCGTTGTTTTGGGGGTGCACTGTGGCTCAGTGCCACAAAACGCCTAAGAGCCAGCCTTAATTTATACATTTTGATGTCACGGTAGAGATCAATCTAAATATAGGCAAGCAAAAATACATCCCCCGAGAGAGCACTGTACAATGCAAATGGAGACAATTAAGTCACAGCAAGGGAAGAAATGAATCTGATGAGCATTGCGGGCTTGCCATCGAGGAGCTGATTAGCTGTGAAGGGAAAGAATGACGAGAAACGCAGCTGAACGTTGTTTTTCCACTCTCCTTATGGCCATTCCTAGTGTGCCCCCGTCTTCTGCTGCAAGGAGAGGAGCAGGGACTCAAGGTCTCATCTGAAGCATCTCCAAGGCCGTGGGGAACCACATCGCTCTGCATAGCCCTCAGCATCCATTGTGGGATTGAAAATGGGATGACCCCCAGTGATTCTCTATTCCCCCCCCCCTGATTTATAGATAATCTTCAGAGAAAGCCTTGTGCCACCCAGATGTTGTCCCCACACACATGTGAGCCCATCGGGTGTCCCCGGGGGTGCCGGGATTGCCTCAATGCTGGACAGCGAGCGCTTCGGTGGCAGAACGGCGATGGGAAGGGGGGGATGGCGGTGCCAAAGGGGAGACGCCAGAAGAGCAGCAGCCAACTCCACCAACATCCTTCCTTGGGTGAAGGGGACCCTGGGTGCTCTGAGCAACCTGATCTTGTTGGAGATCACAGAGCCATTAAGGTTGGAAGAGACCTCCAAGATCATCAAGTCCAACCTTCAACCCAACCCCACCATGGCCACCAAACCATGTCCCCAAGTGCCACATCCACACGGTTTGTGAACCCCTCCAGGAATGGTGACTCCACCACTGCCCTGGGCAGCCTCCTTTCAGTGCTTGACCACTCTTTCAAGAAATACATATTTCCTGATACCCAATCTAACCCTGCCCTGGTGCAAGATGTCCCTACTCATTGCAGGGGGGGTGGACTCAATGACCTCCAAGGCCTCGTCCACCCTAACCCATTCTGTGACCCATGTCCTGTGCCTGAAGACCTCATCCACAGCTGGCAGCCTCCAGCTCCACGGCAAGAGCTGGCTCTGAACCCACCACACAAGCACACACAGGGGCTGTGCCTGTCCCCACAGGGACCCACTTTGTCCCCAGCTGTGCCCTGGACCCGACCGGAGCCATGTGAGCCCCTCTCAGCCCAGCCACCTCCTTTACGTGGTTTGGTGTCCATAACCACGCCAGACACAACACACAAAAGAAACAGCTGGCAGCTTCCCCACTCCTTGCCGAAAACCAGATGATCCCAAACCGCTCCTCCCACCGCTTGTGAGCTGCCAAGGCGTGGGAGCAACGCCTCCCTGGGAGCACCAGGCTTGGAAAGCGATATCCTGAAATTTTAGAGGGGGTAACACATAGACATACGGCCACGCTGTGCCCCCCGCACAGCAGGAGGGCCCCCTTGGCTGCCCCCACGGCATCGGGCCCCCTTGGCTGCCCCCGCAGCATCCTGACATCAGCTGTAAGATATGCAAGGAATGAAAAAGCCGGATCCGTGGCGAAATGTGCGGTCTCTGTGATCCAGGACAAAAGGCTGCCTTGTATTCAGCATCTGGGGGGGTCAAAACATCTCAGGCCTCGTGTGAGGGGCGGCAGGGCTCCAGCTGGGAAAAAAAGATGGGAAAAGGATGGGCAAAGCGGGCTCCGTCCCTGCTGTGGATGCAGATGGATCCTCAGCATCAGCTTGAGACCGTATAGTGTAGAAAAGGGGATGAAATAGTTGCAGTACTTTGCAGTCCAGGCTACTTTAAACATCAATGTTAGCTTTCGTTAAAGGTTAACTCATTTCTCATGCTGTAAACATCAGGGCGCTGGGGAGGACCCTGCTCCCTCTGACAGGGCAGGAGTGGGACAAGAGCATGGGGAATGGCCATCGGCCTCCAAAACGGGGCCGTGGCTGCGTGGAAAGTCCAAGAAGGGAGCAGGCCACCCCAAAGCGTGCACAGAGCTCCATGCAGGTGGAGAACACAGCCTCCGTGGTTAACGAAATCAGCGGTTCCCAGGCGATGGGGCCGTGCCTTGGCTCAGCTCCTGGGACATATGTGGGCACCCGCTGCCACCCCACCAGGGGTGAGGACTGGGTGCTGGGGCTTAGCACCAGGGGAGAGACAAAACTGATGAACACATGGTGTGAAACATGACAAATTCTGCTTGCTTTTTCCTTCCCCCAGTTTTGCCCATGCAGGTGGCAGAGAAAACCGGCACCTCTCGGTTTATCACCCAGAAACTGCCCCATCAGCAGCCTGGACGGTGTCAGATCTGTGACTATCCACAGGATTTAATATTCTGAGGAGAGATGAACTTCTCTAAGGTGGATTTCTTCACTGCAGGGGAACAAGCTGCCCCACAGCTCTGTTTTGGGGTCCGTGGGGCTGAGCTGCCCCCTGCCCTGGTGTTCCATCCCCTTGGCTTGGTGTGGCGGGACAGCGATCCCTCACTAGGGACAGAGGATGGCAGTCACAGGGCCGTGATTTCATTTCCTAGAAATTTCTCCTTGTAGCACTCAGGCATTTTCTCTGTTTCACAGCACCCACCTATTTGCAGGGGAAAAAGTCAGCTCAGAGCTTCAGGAGTTTGGCTTTTCCCATCTGGGCTGAAAGGACAGAGCATCCTTGGAGCATCCCTTGGGGCAGCCCCTCCAGCAGAGCAGGGCCTGGGCTGAAGGCAGCAGAAATGCAATATTTTGTCAATTGCTCCATCTAGTGCCATTTCAGCAGAAAAAGCCAGGGGAGCGCAACGCTCAGAGCTGCCGTGGCTGGGGCCTGCGCAGCTCTTCCTGTGGTGGCTGGAGCCATTCGGTGAGGATGAGCCAGGTCCTTGTCCTGGGCCCAGCACTGGTGACATCCCCCGCTCCAGCGCAGGTGACAACTCTGGGTCCAGTGCAGGTGACATCCCCAGGTCCAGCACTGGTGACAACTCTGGGTCCAGCGCTGGTGACATCCTCAGGTCCAGTGCAGGTGACATCCCTGGGTCCAGCACTGGTGACATCCATCAACTGATGGCAGCTGTGCGCGAGGGGCTGGGAAGATGCCCTCCATTCCCGTACACTGCTAGGTGAGATGGACAGAGGCGTAACAAAAGCACAAAGTGATTTCACAACAGCTGAAAATGCTCCTAGGGAACATGGCGTTTTCAAGGGCAGATATTTCCCTGTCAGAGTTCACAGCCCCATTTTGAGAAAGATCACTGAGAAATGAAGCAAAGGCTCTCAGCCCTGGGGCTGCAAGGTAAGAGCAGATCCAAAACTCAAGCCATGGAGATGAGGACCAGCTGCCAATGTACCA